CGAAAGCTTCAGCATTGAGTGTCACCCTTTTACTGCTTAACACCTATCTGCTTTATGTTCTACTTTGTTGTTTTTCACATTCTTTGGTTTTGTGTTTTTGTTATTATTGTTGTTTATGGAATGTTTGATGGATTTATGGATGAATAGACATATGTATAATGATGTATGAAACTGTGATAATGGTGGACTTGTTAATAGATATGAGCATGTATGAAAATATATGTTGGTTGTAATTGATCATGAACACAATACCAATTAGTATGGATGAATACAAATATGACTGATTGTTTGGTATTAGAAACTTGATGTGGAATCATGTTATGTAGGAATTATGTGTTTAGTGTAAATCCAAAACTCTTGTAAAGGAGATTTTATGGTGGCATACATGTATGCATTGATGTAATGATTCAAGGAAGATATCCTAACACTCTAACAATCATTCACACTCATATAGATTAGAAATAATTATGTGGTGAGAGTACTAGGAGATTCTAGTTTGAAGGCATGATAATGGCCTTAGACATGAAGATGATTAACATTGTGAGTGGTAGGGTGAAACTCATTGGTAATGACTATGCAGAACATTAGAGGTCACCACAAACGCATGTTTATAGTGATTTGGACATTAAATACATATATCCGGATAATTAAATCTAGAAATTTTATAATTGTATGTTTGATTATTATATGGATGTTTGAAACATGTTATTTTGTGATGAAATCAGTTTAACTGTTACATGCTTATTTCTTTTATAATTTAGCACCATCTCTTGTGCTTATGTCTTGTGTTTGTTGTTTTTCTTTTCTGATGATCACCTTTACCAATATGAGCATATGAAGAATCAAGTAATGATGTACCTCATGTGAAAATGTTGGTGCAATTGTATAGATATAAAATTATGAGAGCTAGGTTTAGTTTTCGAAAACTTTGTAGTTTTGTGGTCAATTTTTAATTTCTTAAAATACTTGATGTACATATAATTATTTTGGATAAATATAATAATATAGTTAATTATTTATGGATTTAAAGTTTTATTTAATAATATTGTACTATTTAGATATTACAATGTTTTTGAAAATTATATATATATATATATATATATACTTGAATGAATCTATTATTCACTCTTAATTTTTATGGTACTCTCTCTATCATAAACACAAAATGTTTCAATTTTAAATTTATTCAAATAACATCATTAAAGTTAATGATTACATTTAAATTTATAATTTAATATTTTTATTATAATTTAATTTAATATAATTTCAAATGTGATATATAATAAACTTTAATAATAATGATGATTAAAATAAAATAATTAAAATTTAATTAAATAATTAACTATTAAATTCTTTCACACATAAAATTAACAAATTATAGAGACTAGGATTGATCACACCTAGCTTTACCATTACTCACCCTAGCTTGCACTGTACATGGTTAGGTTACTACCATTTACATCTACTTTTTTTTTATATATATATAGGCAATCATGTATGAATAACACACTTTTCTTCTGATTATTTAGCAAGGTGTTTATATATATTATTATGATTCAAAGTCAAAGTCATTAATTGTAAATCTGTAGTACAATATTTGTGATTGCATGTAATGAAATTTTTTTAAAAGGTTGAGTTCCAAAATTAGAAGTGACCCTAATATCCTCTTGCTATATAAATATATAAGTAAAAAACATAAATAAGATAAAAATTAATAGGCATAAAAAAATTTGAAAGGTATGCATGAATATCCAAGAGAAAACTGAAAATCAATAGGTTTTACTGGTCAACATCTTCCTTCTTAGATTCCACTTGTCACCATCCATCTACACTGTAACTTCTTTCACCATTGATATATCCCCACCCTTTGCTCCTCTCTAAAGAAATAATCATTCTACACTATTAATATCTATATAAATATATCTATATATATATATATATATATATATATATATATATATATAGCAGAATATGTAAATAATATATTAATATATTAAGCTAAATTATTAATTTGTCATATAAAGAATATTATGTCCGAAAAACCAATGATGTGACATTTTGGTTTATGTTTGTCCTCCATTTGTTTTGTTCATGTCTTAGAAGTTAAATAAGAAATTGTGTGATCTTAAAAGCCTAACTACAAACTTCAAACATTGGTTGTTAAAACATTAAGTACTAAAAAATATATACAACTTTTATTAATTTTAATGAAAAATAAATTAAAAAATATTGTATAACTAGAAATAATTTCTACTGTATAATTCTTTCAACTCAATTAATTGGTTGTTAACTAGTTTTACATTCAAATAAATACAGTCTTGATATCCATTAGTTTAGGATTAAAAAGTAAAATATAAATAAATAAAGAAATATCGATAACTGAAATATTATTTCACATTACTAACTCAATACATTTTATTGTAACTTCCAATAAAAGTATATTTATTGTTTTCGTAAAGATGATAAAGAGTATTAAAATGGTATAATTTTTTTAACATTATTAAAATGGGACAAATTTAAACAAAAATTATGAAAATAAGTAAGTCGTATTAATTTAGTATAATTTTATTATAATCATTTCAATATAATTGTAATATTAATTGAGTCAAAAATTATGCTAAGTTAATATGATTTCTTTATGATAAAAATCATGTGAAATTAACATAATTTATTCATTTTTGTAATTCTTCTTAAATATGTTCCATTTTGATAATTAAAAAAAATTACATTGTTTTTGTATTTTTGCCAAATATCAATATTGATTGTTTTGGAAGAATGTGAAAAGAATATCACTTAAATCTAAGTCTTCACATATGTCATAGCACGTGGCTTTTGGGGTGTCGTTTACAGTTTGGAATAGAATAAATTTAGATGATTGTTTTAAGTATTTACATAATATTAGTTTAAAATAAAAAAAGAGAAAACGCGTGTTCATCTAAGTGATAAAATATCTAGACTAAAATTTAATCTTTTCTAAAAAGGTGAGTTCAATTTTCATTTCACTTTACTAAAATTAACTTGCTAAAAATCCTTTTATAGATCAATCTTTAGACTCGTCTGTAAAAAACAAACATGAAAAATATAATGTTTTAGTTTTGAATGGTAAATACTTTTAAAAATAAAATAATACGTATTTTATATTTATATTTTCTTGAAACAAAATTTTACAAACATCAAGAATTTTACCATTCCTTAATCAAAGTTTAAGAAAATCAGATGTTTACTCTTGGCTTAAAGGCTATTAAATGGTAATATAAGTTCAACCTTCAATATTATTTAGGAAATATAGAATTTGGATTCTTTACTAAATTTTTTTGTTATTTATTTTGACATTTTAAAATATGTTAAAAACAATTTTAATATTATTATTAACACCGGTATATTTGAAAGGTTGAGCAGATAATAGTACCAAAAACACATAATAAAGAATCTGGTCACGGAGATATGGAAGTAAATAAGTAGGCAGATTAAATTTTTGCATTGATTTAAGCAGTTCAATTTTTTTTTAAAACATTGAAATTGTTGATTTAATATATGAAAATTAATTAAAATTATGATGAATTTTCTCGGAAAAAGGTTATTGAATCCGTCTCCATGTTCTCTCTTTTGCTGTTTCTTACCTTTTGTTTGTTTCCCTACAGCCTAAAAAGGATCCATCAGGCTGGTTAAATGCATGCGGCCTGTTTGACAATGGGTTTGAATGAGGTATTGTAAGAAAAAATTTCCTCTCTTGTAGGAAGCATTAATTGAGTTGGTAGAAAATTTGAAGAAGAACTTGATGATAAAAATGAGAGTGCATGATAGGGCATGCAGTTGTTTTAGAGGAAGCACTAATTGCTTAACATAGAGGAAAAGGAAGCAACAAAATGTAACATGTCATGATCAAAGCCTTGAAAAAGCGTGGGTGGAAGAGATGGCCATTGATAGTTACATGTGTATCATTCATGAACTTGATAATCATAGCTCATCACTAGCAACGTGGGGTTATTACAGTTACCATATAGGTTAAAGGGTACGTGCAGTAGAAGAGGAAAGTTGAGGTATCATTATCATTATCGTCTGGAATGATTGATGGATAACCGCACCCTTAAAGTATGTGTAGTGTAGTGCAGTTTATGTGTATGAAATAATGCATGTTGAGAAGTGTGGTTTTGCTACATGAATCTGTTTAGTTTTTGACTGTTGAAAATACCCGATTGACTGAAAAAGAGAAGGTTGAGATCCAAAGAGATATATATAACTGCAAGAGAGCATAGTGACATGGTTTCTTAACATTTGCGTTTGTGGGGCTACCAACTACCAAAATATCTTTAATTTCATCTCTGACCTCACCCTGCCACGCTTGGCAGAAGCATCCGCAAGCTTTTTCAATAGGCCAAGGTACCTTTTCCCTTCTCACTCTCTGTCCATCAATTCTTTGCTGCAAACCTTTTGAGCCATGTGATATACCCTCACCTCAAAGTTCAATAAATCAATACTTGAATGTTCTAGTAGTTTGTGCTTTTACCCTCCTAGTACAACAGGTTCAAGTTGAAAAAAAAAAAAAAAACTGCTGCATGTTAATTCTTCTCCAAGATTTGAGTTCCCATGTAGATGTCATCAGTTAACTTATCACAAATCTACTGATTTACCCTGTCCTTTTACTCTCTGTAGAAGAAGAGAACATAGATAAGATTACCGTAGGTCACATGAAGAAGCATGAGTAATTAAGCTTTTTGTTTGTATATTTTCTTTCATATGGTTTTGTGAGTGGGTAAAAGGAATCTGAAAGATTGCAATTGCAGGTGTGACCTTTTGGGACCAGCACAGTGGCAGAATTGTCACAATTCAAAGCCTGTGGGTAGCCGCAGCAGATGAAGGACTACGGGCAACTATAGTTAAGGGCAACAGCAAGCAAAGCAAAGTGTGTCTGCCTAAGGAAAACCTATGAGAAAACAAACCCTTACAAGAAAAAAATAATAGAGCCGCATATAGAAGAGAAAAGGGAGAGATATTGAAAAAAAAAAAAAAAACTGGATTTCAGTGGGAATCAGTATCATCCACCAAGTCCTATACAAAGTCCACATGACTCACAACAACAAAACTTGATCAGCACACACACAGCTCATTATCAGGTATCTCAAAACCAACCTTCATATGTTGTAGGTATAGGAAGAAGTTCCCACGGAATAGAACCATCTACTTTGGACCAAGCCATAAAACACAGGAAGCATAATAGAGAAGGAACATTCACAAGGGTCATGAGGAGCAGTGTAGGAGATATTGTTCAAGTGGAAGGAGGACACATTGTTAGGTCCACGGGTAGAAAAGATCGCCACAGCAAGGTCTATACTTCCAAAGGGCCTCGTGATCGCCGGGTTAGACTCTCAGCACACACAGCCATTGAGTTCTATGACGTTCAAGACAGACTTGGCTATGACAGACCAAGCAAGGCTGTGGACTGGCTCATCAAGAAGGCAAAGTCTTCCATTGACAAGCTTGCTGAGCTTCCTCCATGGCATCCACCTATTCATGAGGAAAAGCAGAATGATGCTGCAGGATCAAGTGGAATCATGGCCGTTGAACAACAACAAGAAGAACCTCATCAACAACAGTCAGAGTCTTGTGGCTACAACTTTCAGCTCCATAGGCAACTGGGGGCCTTTATTTCTACCCATGTTGACACTGACCCCATCAATTTTCAAACCAACAACAACTCAGAAGATCTTGGCCTATCTCTCCACTGTTTCCAAGACCACCCTGGCCTTATTAACTGGCCATCGCAACAAGGTGCAAATCAAGCACCTCCTTCAAATGAGCACCAAATTCAAACCCTTTTTGCTGGCTCAACCCCAGTTTCGTTTGAGAACCATTATCAAAGAACTGTGACTTGGAACAATGAAGCAACAACCGGGGATCATGTGAGCAGAATGGGATTCTTTCTCAACTCACAGCCATTTATAGGCCAAGGTTCTGCTTCAGCTTATGCTCAAAGTGAGACCCTTCAGTCCAGTTTTTCATTTCCAATGACTTCCTCTGAGCATCAGAGGCCCCAACCAGTTCACCAACCTTCCATCTTTGGCAGCAGGTTTGCTGTCTCTGATGGATTAACCGGTTTCTGCATTCCAGATAGAATTCAAGATGTGGAAGAGAACCATGGAGATGCTTCCAATAGGCCATCTTCTTCTCCTAGTTCTATCCACTGACCGACCCCACAACAAGAACTGAACAATGCTGTAGTCTTCATATCAGGTATTCTACTCATAATATAGTAGTGTTATATCATCTTACAATCTACTACTTTATAAAGAAAAGACTAAATGAAAACACATTTAATACTTACTATGCAAATGAAGTAGAAGGATTATTAGGAATATGTTGAAAGAATATTTAGAATTGTTCCTGATAATAATAGCACAGTTGTCATAATATGCCTTTTATGGAACAAATATTATAAACTAGGCGAAGCAATATCCCATGCAAAGCTTCAATCCAAGCAACAAAGCTATTTATCCCCCTCTTCAATTAACCACTCCTTGTTAAATTTCTATAATGCATTTTGTTTATTGAGTGCGAACATTTTTTTAGTTTTCTCTCATGCATCTCATTACATGCAGGAGTGTTCTCTACCAGATTTTGGAACCGAGTGAAGATTATTTAGGCACATTGTTATGATCTACAAAGATTTCCTTTCAATTTGACTTTCCTTTTTGGTTTTAAATTTAATGTGAGTTCCCTTCATTTTACCCTGCAATCTATATGTATAATCTACATTGATGAAATTGTCATTGAGTTGAGTTTGGTGGTTATAGTCCTTACTGTATTTTGAATGTTGAGAAAAACATATTTCATCTGATATCTGATGAAAATCAGAAGTTCCATGTCCATTCTTGGCAAAACCACATCTAAAGAAACAGGATCTGATTTGGACTTATTCTTCCCTCTAATAGGAAGAGATGGCTTCCCTTTTCCTTGCCCCTCAAGTACGACCCTTAAAGGAACATTTTGGAAGTCAAACATTTCCTTAAACCATATGGTCAGTAACAGTGTATTTGTTTGTCAGCTTCAACTTCACTCAATAGTACTGTCATTGAAAACTAGAAATTCCATATTGTATGCACATTATTTGTTTTTGTTTCTGACTTAAAGGGCTGACACCCCTTTGCATTTAATGAGATTTGTGGAATAGTTCCAGCATTTTCATGAAACTCATCTATTTTCTTTTGCTCTTTATGTGGTATATTCATGCACGTGGTTGTTGAAACAGCAGAAATAATGGTCAATATCCCTCATGATGAGTATCCCCTAAACATAACTGTAGGCTTACAATCAAACTATGTGACATCAAGTTTAGAAGAAAAGTTAAAGAACAATAAATTTAGAAGAAAACTGTGTTGCAGGCTATTAGTAACTAACTACCTATACATTGTTTAATGTGTTAGTGTTAATGCCACTTTTTACAAAAGAAAGTCAAAGTTGCCATGTTGAGCATCCTAGAATATGAATGCTCATCCTACCTTTCTAAGACTTTTACTGTGCATACTTGAATTAAATCAAACTTTAATGGATTGTAAATTTAATATGCTAGATCTATGAAACAACTTAATCTTGTTCATAAATATTTTGCAGCATGTTTGGATTGCTGTTAAGATCCTTCAAAAAGCATTTTCAGATCAAAAAATACAAAGAGTATCCTTCTGTAGAAGTATGTTTGACACTAAAGTACTTTTCAAACGAATATCCAAACATAGTAGGCTAAGGTTAGAAAATGGAAAATCTGATTCTGCAAGTCTGGTGACCTTTAATGATTCACAGACTTGCCAACGTGATTAGCAATAAAACTTCCTTTTCTCCTTAAATCACTTCCTAATAAAAGTTATAATTGTAGCTTATTCACAAAAGTGAGAATGGATGATGATGATCGCATATAGTCCAAAATTAGTTTCTACATATAGAGAAACAAAAGGTGCACTGATATTTTTAGCAAGAGAGATTGGTGTAATCACTGTATCCAAATTAGTGGCAAAACACAACACATCACGCCTCTATACTTTTTAAGAAAAGGAAACAAAAAAGTAATGGCACTTCCATAAAAAAACAGTTGATAAATATTTTTTATTATGTTAAAATATAATTTAGGCTAAAATATAAAAATAAAATGTATACATTAAGAAATAGAATTTGTATTATATATTTTTAAAAATTATTGGTTTTTTAATTTTAAAATATATTAAGAATAAAATAAAAATATGAAATGTGTCGGGAAAATCTTCATTGTATATAGTACTGTTTTAATATATAATTAAATATAAAATATAAATATGAAATGTATGCATTAAAATGAGAAATCTCGTTATATATTGTGGATGATATTGAAATTATAATTTCTAACAAGTGATTGGACACATATTACTTAGTTTATTAACATTGGTTTGATTCAATGTGATAAAATGGATATTTTGTGCTGAAATAAATCAGCTGTTTTTTCAGAATTATCCATAAAGTTTGAGTATAGTAAAATTAAAATGGTAAATTAGGTTTAGGTTGGTAAACTCAATTCATTTAAAAATAATTAAGTATTTTAATTAGTTTGCTCATCGTAATCCATTTCGTCTTGGTCCTTAATCAACCGATTGGGCAAATCCTTTTAAAAGAAAAAAAAAATAAAAAGCAAAATTCAAAATTTATGTTCAAGTTTTGTCATTTACTTTTTTCAGAAGAAATTATTTATCTTGAAAAATTAAAATATGTCTTGGTTGTTATTGTCGATTTACTTTATAGATTTAATTTAATGCTAAATAAATTAATATTTAAATAAAATGTAAAGTAAATGATAGATATATCTTACATTTTACCTAAAAAATTTTGTTTAAATTAAATTTATTAAATAAATAGTTTCAATTATTTTCTATATTTTTTGGCAGGTAAGTGTGTAGAGATATATTAATCCTATTTTTTATAGATATCAAAGATTTTTAACTCACTTTGGAATTATGTACCAGTCCAATTCATTTTTTATGGGTTGGACAAAAGAGGAGAGGCATTCTTCCTACACCCCGCGTATTTCTTTATGCACCCCAAGTTTCTATTGTCATGCCATTTTTACCCTAAATATACAATATATTAAATTAATTAGGTAAGTAGTAATTATTATTGTTAATCACCGCTACCTACCTCTTGTAAATATGTATTGCACTCTTATATCGTTATTTACTTTTTTAGCGTATTCTCAAGTCATTTTTCTTCATTAACCACAAACTGAATTCATTTCTTCACAAACGAAGAAAGTTTGTATTCTTCGTAACAACGCTTGGTTTTCATGTTGGTTGAAGTCAGTTGAAGTCAAATATATTCGTGGTAGTAGAAGAGAGTTGAATCTACAAATGTTTGAAATATAGGTATGTATTTCATGTACACGATTCTATATGGAGTTTTCTGGCAAGAATCAACCGAATTTCATAATTTTTTTATTCTTTGTCCGTGTACCAGATTTCAAAACCAATTTTTAGAATTGGTAACTAAATTTCAAAATCTTTATGAATAGTACACTCTAACAAAATCGAATTTCAAAATTTAATGACTATTTTTAGAAATTAGTAAATACAATCAATACACATAAATCAGATTTTAAAATTTTTTTTTAGTGATGATCACTAAATTTTGAAATCTAACATTAAAATTTGTTATTCACCTAATTTTGAATTTTAGTTTACCAAAATTATTACTAAATTTTGAAATTTGGTAAACATTTTAGCAGCGCATTTGGAAATATGGTGAAACTTGTGTACTAGATTTTGGTTACCAAAATTCGAAATCAAGTAAGCACCATATTAGTAATCAGACTTCAAAATCCGATAAGCACAACTTTGGTAACTAGATTTTGAAATCCTGTTTTAGTATTGTGTTTGTTGAATTTCAAAATCCAATTCTGATATTGTGATTGTCAGACTGGTGCATCATAATTTTTGCGTGTTAACAACGACCAAGAAGGGAGGTGAATGTGTTTCTTTTCAAAATCATGTGCCTTTAAAAAATTTCTCTCTAATTAAAGTTACTTAGTAGATAATTAAACAAAATAAACAGAATAAGGGAAGAGAGAAATTTGCACAAATAATTTTATATTGGTTTGGATCAAAAGAATCATACGTCTAGTTCCTAATACCTCAAAGAGATCAACATTTTCATTATCACAAAACCAATAAACCTTACAATCCCATAGATACAAAGTTTAAGGTTTAGAAAACACCTTTCTTGAGACCGCAAAAAATAATACTCAGTTCCCTTGAACACCACAAGGGATGGACACTTCCTCTGAGTACTCATGAAGGATGACAGACTTCACTTAGCAATAGCAACAACACTTGATCACACTTGTAGTGAAAGTTCTCGCTCTAGCCCACATCAAGTTTCCAAGCTTTTTTAGAGAGTTTCACAAAAACCCTACCTTCTTACTTCAATGAGTTATTGTGTATCTTGAATAGAGTCTAGAACTTCTATATAAAGACTTCACTCAGTGGCACCTCCAAAATCCGTTGTCAGACTTTTCTGCTGCAATAATCAATTATCCCACTTTGGTAATCGACTAACCATTAAATGAAATGTCCAACGGTCAAAAACATGTTAGAAAACTGCAATAGCTAGTTGTTATAATCGATTAGAGTTAAATATATTTTTCTTCCCTCAAGTATCAAGCGTTTTTGGGTTTCGTCCCTCTTTTAAACTTTACTTCACTTTGATCCTTTACCTTAATAAACTCTAATTTTTAGTCCTCAAAAAGCAACGACGTTAACTTTAATCTGATGTCGCTAACTGTGTGCCACATCACTTTTCTTTTTTTCTGAAACGTGTCAATCTGCATCTTTAGACATCTTTAGGCCGTGACACTTCTCTCTCTCTCTCCCTTATTCATTTCCATCATCCTCTTCAACCTAGTTAGCTCATCTCACGATTGGTTTTGTGCGTGGAGGTTGAATCACGAATAAAGAGACACGAATTAGAGTTTCTCTGCGGCGGCAGTTTAGATTTGCTATGCAAGTGCGAATGAGAATCTGAAGATTGAAGCTTGCGCGAGAAGTGAGGGTGACACGTGGAGTGAGAAGGTGAAGCGAAGAGAGGATGAGGATGGCTTACATTTTTTTATTCATTTAAATAATTTAGCAAAGAGTTTCAGTGGAAGTACTTTGTCCAAGGATAAATTTAGATGAACGGAAAAGGAGAGGGAAAAATTTTATGTCAATCTCTCACCACTATTAGACAATTTTTGTAGTTTGGGGAGGGGAATGAGAATTTTCAATGTAATGCTCAAGACCGACCCTCTTTTTTTTAAGTTTTTAAGAACATTTTGAAGTTATCTAATTTTGAAGTTCTAGCCTAAAATCTGTACAAACCCATGACAGAAAAATATCACAGAAACAGAACCAAAACCAAAACTAGTGTTTCTACAATTTAGCAACCTAGAAATGATTTATTCTCAAAAACAAAGAAAAAAAATGATGCATTCCTAAAAGGCTTCCTCACACGCTGAAATACAGCAATTTACAAAATGCATATTTTTATATTATATTCTCCATTATATATTACATCTCCTCTGAAATTCTTTTCCATTCTCTGTTCCAAAACCTTTTCAGCTTTCATTGACAATGTTACCTACTTTGACAACTAAATAAAGACATTTTTTAATCGTACCATTTTCAAATAATTGTGATAGACAACAGTTAAATTTTATTTTCTAACAAACTACATTGAGATAGATCATAAATCATCTTAGGTATTTGTTGATTTGGCTTCTTGATTTTGAAATAAGTTTTGTAA